ATGTCATCCCCAGTGCACCTTATAAATATAAAAACCATAGAATAAAAAACACACATTCTATACACACACACACACACACACACACTATAAACTTGATACACCATGCCTACTCATAAGAAGTATGGCAGAGTGTGCATTGATGACTTGTTTGTAACAATAGTAGTTTAGCTGCCAAATGCTGTATCTATGACCATCATGGCAAACTAATTATCTGAGAATGATATGATTCAAAGCAAGCTCAACATTAAATTACAAAATTTAACCTCACCACTTAATCAAGACACTCTGCAGCTAACTCTAGCTAGCTATCACCCCAACTCATACGCTTGATGACTTGGTTAGACATACTGTGTAACAGATGTCCAACATACAGCTATGAACCTTAATCATAAATATGATGTTTTTGTTTGGCATGAGATAACATAGAAAACTTTGCCAGTTGCAAGCAAATGGCTTGCTGCTGATAGTGGAAGGAAAAGTACTTTTAAATGCACAACCTATCTTTCATAGTTTATTGAGGAAAGATTCAAAGAACCACTACTAATTTGCTTTCAATGATTCATCAGACTCATTCACTAATTTAAGTATCCAGGGAAATTACATGATAATGAAACACCAAGATTTCATATTTTTCTCAAACTGCTCTATTTTGTAATAATGCTCAGTTTTAAACCAAAAATTATGTTTTGTTTTATGTAAGCAATCTTTTGTTTTAATATAAAATATGTTGATTATTATCTAATCACTGAACTATTATACAACACATACAGTTGAAGAAGAATCTAGTGGCCCCTTAAAGACTAACAGATTATACGTATGTCTTTGTGAAGTATACACCACTTTATCAAAGAGAAGTAATGTTTTTGTAGACCACAATCTATACAACAGCATATACTGCAAGTGTACTATAATGAAAGTGTACACTTTGTTAATTATTAAGATACTAAAGACTTTGGTGGGTTTTTAGTGCGGGGGGGGGGAGATGTGCTTGCTAGGAGCTTCCACTGTACTCAGTGGATCTTCTGAGTAGGTATGTACAAGATTGCACTATTCAACTCTGTCACATACAGAAGTAGCATTTATTTCATTTTAGTGAGTTAGTAAAAGTGGATTTTATTGACAATTTCAGCCTTGAAAGGGACCATTTGTCCCTTTTGATAAATTAGTCTGCAGGCACTTCTGGGAAAGAAATGGCAAACTGAAGAAGGCTCCGCTAAAAGTGGAGCCAACAGCTGTGGTGGAATGAACAGCCAGCGAGTAGACCAGTTTTTCGTAATTCCTCTCCAGACAAGAAGGGGACCTGAGATCACCCACAAGTGCTCCAGACAGTTGCTCCTCATGAGGAGACTGCAAGACAGTGGTCTTCAGCAGGTTTAGAGGTCTGGGAGAAGAGGCAAAGTCATCTTCGCTCAACCTGCGGACACTGAGTTTGCATGCTTCCTTTTCTAATCACTTTTGGAAATTGCTTGTTAACTTGTTTTCAGCTATTAAGAACCTTTAGATTGACAAGTTTTACAGCACCAGAAGAGTTTCCTTCAATTCTTAGTGAAAGAAGTTTTAAGTACAAGTTTAAGGACTCAATTTTTTTTTTAATAAACAGCAAAAGGGTGATTAGAATGTTGATTTTGGAAAGCTACAAATGGATTAAGGATGGATGGATGGATTTGAAATAAGATTTTGAAATTAATTGTAAGAATTCTTCCTGTGGGAAAATGCTTTTATTCTGAATTCTTTAAAAAAATGATAGCATGGGACTTTGAAAGTTGGACATTAGAGGGAACCAGAAGGAACTAATGATTACAGTTAAAGGAGAAGAACACTTAAATTTGACTAATACAGACCGGGGCAAAATACTTTAACATTGGACGTATTGAAGGCTATTCTTGAACGATGGATCCACAAGTTAATTTCAAAAGTGTCTGCTTTTATAGACAGACTGTGTTTAAAAGATGTTATGGAAGAGGAACACATTTTACTGTACAAGACTGAAACTGATCTGAAAGTGGATTTAAAAATGACAGGCTACAAGAATTATATGGAAAAAGATACTACACTGGATATACAAATGGAACCAGCTGATGTCTTAATAATTAAAAGGGATATAAAGATAACAAACCAAAAGAGTGACCTTGATAACTTTCCTATATTGGATTTACAAAAGAGACTTGTTAAAAGCTTTGAAAAATTTTGTGAGAAGGGACAAAGAAAAAATAAAAAGAAATAAAATTTACGACATTATTTGAAGGGACTAAAGATCGAGATTTTTAGAAATAAAAAGAAGGAATATAAAGTTGGTTTATTTGATCAAGGTTAAAATAGATTTTTTTTTTCCTCTGATAACCCTTAATGGACTTTTGCTGATCAGGACTGAATGATGAGGTTTTAAGGATTTGTTTATAGATAAGAGATGAGATATGGGAAGAAGTATTCATGTATTCTATTTTAAGCATCACAGTTGAGTAAGATAAACTGTTTATACTTGTGGGGAAGTCATTTCTTTATATATTTATTTTTTTTTTTCCTCTGATAACCCTTAATGGACTTTTGCTGATCAGGACTGAATGATGAGGTTTTAAGGATTTGTTTATAGATAAGAGATGAGATATGGGAAGAAGTATTCATTTATTGTATTTTAAGAGATGGTGATAAGTTACTAAAATTGTTTATACTTGTGGGGAAGTCATTTCTTTATATATTTATTTTCTTTTTCTTTATAATATTCTTATTTTTTCTTTCTTTTCTATTTTTCTATTTTTTCTTTTCTGAACTTTCTTTTTATTCTTTTATATTTTTTAGTTTGTATTAGTGTTTATCTTTTTAATTGTAATGTTCAATAAAATTACTATAAAAAGACTAAACTAGCTTGCAGATAGTTTTCTTCTTAAAATAATTTTTACTATTAAGAGATTAGAGAAACTGCTATATTATTTTGTAGTTATTTGAAGAGAACTTTGAATATTATTAAGAAGCATCTTATTTAAATGTTATCATTTGGCCATTTTAATCATTTCATAAGAAAACTTCCTGAAGCACCATCATTTAAATGTAGTATCCATAGAGCAAGGAAAGTATTTAATAGAATAATTATTTTAAAAAATAGATACATTAAAATACATCTTTAATGCAGCAAGAAAATATAATATTACAGGTGGCTCATGCTACCTATGCTCTCTGGTTCTGCATAACTGCCACTGATCATTAGAACAAAACCTTATATATACATAGGGTGTTCCATGATATCCATCATTTTGGTCTTCTTTTCTGTTACTTTACAGATGCATAAAATGGCAGCTTGGCTTTTAATATGTATGAAGACTATTTTTTAAGGGTAAGTTTGGGCCCTCTGCACAATGTATTTCTCCTTTCCTCCTGCTTGCTGGTTACAGCAGATCTTGGTGGGGCAGCCCTGACAAGAGGCTTCCAGTCGTTTGCTTGTGGCACCTGGGAGTTTCTTCTTTGGAATGGCTAGTTTGGCTTATGAGGAAGGAAGCTGGGTCACCCTAGCTCTGCCATTCCACGTGGTTTTCACAGTCTCAGTAGGAGCATCCAGACGCTAATGCTGACTGAACGCTGCTCATAACTAGGCTGACCCATCTACCACAATCAAGTAAGGAGAAGGAAGAACATCTGTAGTACAGTGCACAGACAACAGCTATGGGGAGAAGAATAATCCCCCAATCCCCATAGACTCAAGGTCTCTTAGTTCATGGGTTTGTGAACCATGGTTTTATGCAAGAATGGAACCCCATCAAATCAGCCAAAATAGTTTTGTTTACACAGAACGTTCCTATTGAAAACTAAATTAAATAGTTTAATAGTAAATTAAACTATTTCAGATACATATGTGTTTGTGTGTGGGGGGGTGTGGAACTGATACGAAGGAAAAGAAGATATACTATTAATAATATATACATCTAATAATAATACGGGGGACGCAGTAGCGCAGCGGCTTAATGGCGCTGAAAGTTGCTGGCCAGAAATGGTTGACACTTCAGTGGTTCGAGTCC